AAGAATATCGAGTATATCATGGACTGCCGGAAGAATGAATAAATCTGTCTTGGAAGAAGTACAGCCAGAATGCTCCTCAGAAGTGAGGATGATGAGATCTCATCTCTCGTACTTTGGACATGTTATCAGGAGGGACCAGTCCCTGGAGAAGAACATCATGCTTGGTAAAGAAGGGGGTCAGCAAAAAAGAGGAAGCCTTCAAGGAGATGGAGTGACACAGTGGCTGCAACAGTGGACTCAAACATAGCAACAATTGTGAGGATGGTGCAGGACCAGGCAGAGTTTAGTTCTGCTGTACACAGGATTGCTATGAGTTGGAATTGACTCAACAGCACCTAACAAGAACAGCCACACAGTACAAGTGGATAAAAACCCGATGTCTGCCCTGAAACAGACAGACTCTCCTCAAGAATTTCTAGAGCAGTGGCTCTCAACAGGAGACAATTTTACTCCACAGGGGACATTTAGGGAGCCCTGGTAGCATAGTGGTTAAGAGCTTGGCTGCTACCCAAAAGGTCAGCAGTTCAAATCCACCAGCCACTCCTTGGAAACCCTATGCGGCAGTTTTACTCTGTCCTACAGGGTCGCTATGAGTCAGAACTGACTTGACAGCACCTAACAACACCAACATAACAGAGACATTTTTTTGGTTTTCACAGCTAGAGAGATGCTACTGGCATCTAGTGGGGAGAAGTCAGAGATGCTACTAAATACTAAACATTCTACAGTACACAGGACAGCCCCTCACAACAGAGAATTATCAGGCCCAAAATGTCAATAGTGCTGAGGTTGAGAAAACCTGGTTCAGATCACATGACCTGGAGAACACGAGCTCTTGGGTTCTTTCTGATGGGCAGACCATCAGATCCATACCAGTTAATCCACATCAGTTCTGACTGGGATGGCTAAGGGCCCAGACCAAATAGCCATTAGCCTTATGAATTCTACTACAAATCCACTCAAGTAGGGACAGGGAAAGATAGAAGAACAACCTGAGGTTAGATAAAGGGTAGAAGTTAAAAAGGAAAAAAGAAATGGCATCATATAACCTGTTGCCATTGAGTCGATTCCGACTCATAGCGACTGTATAG